TGATGATGATGATGATGATGGGAGGAGGGAGGGGGGGGAGGAGGAGGAGGAGATGGTGAGGAACGCGGGGCGCCGTCTCTTCAAAACGAGGACCCAACACCACAGGATGGTTGGGAAAAATCCTCGAACGCGGTGTATGTCTACGACACTGTCGCAGAGCCTAGCAAGCGTTGCATGTTCGACACCATCGGGTGTGCGCACGAGGTGGTCCCTGAGCGTGGCCGCTATCTGTGCCAATCGTCCAGGGCGTAGCAGGCGTGGCACTTTCCCGACACCATGTGGGGTGCGCACGGGGTGGTCCTTGAGCGCGGCCGCTATCCGTGCCGGTCGTCCAGGGCATGACGGGGTGCGCACGGGGTGGTCCCTGAGCGCGGCCGCTATCCATGCCGGTCGTCCAGGGAATAGCAGGCGTGGCAATTGGGGGGTGCGCACGGGGTTGTCCCTGAGCGCGGCCGCTATCCGTGCCGGTCGTCCAGGGCATGGCAGGAGTGCCCTTTCTCGACACCATGGGGGGTGCGCACGGGGTGGTCCCTGAGCGCGGCCGCTATCCGAGCCGGTCGTCCACGGCATAGCAGGAGTGGCATTTTCCCGACACCACAGGGGGTGCGCACGGGCTGGTCTTTGAGCTCGGCCGCTATCCGTGCTGGTCGTCCAGGACATGGCAGGAGTGACATTTTCTCGACACCATAGGGGTGCGCATGGGGTTGTCCCTGAGCGCGGCCGCTATCCGCGCCGGTCGTCCAGGGCATCCCAGGAGTGGCATTTTCCCGACACCATAGGGGGTGCGCAGGGGGGGGTCCTTGAGCGCGGTCGCCGTCCGTGCTGGTCGTCCAAGGCGCTGCTGTCCGTGACGGTCGTCCAGGGCACAGCAGGCATGGCAGATTCTCGACACCACAGGGGGTGCGCACGGGGTGGTCCTTGAGCGCGGCCGCTATCCGTGACTATGGTGCTCAGGGCACATCGGTACGCAAGTTTGCTATCCGTGCTGGTCGTGCTCAGGGCACAGGGGAACGCTGGCGAGGTGAGTGTTATTAACATCGAGCATTTGTAGCCACCTTGGCTCATGCCTGCTCAGTCCGTTCGGGTTTGCACGCAGGCGTGCTCGCGCTGGTGACGGTCGTCCAGGGCATCGCAGGCATGGCATGTTCTCGACGCCATACGGGGTGCGCAGGGGGTGGTCTCTGAGCGCGGCCGCTATCCGAGCCGGTCGTCCAGGGCATAGCAGGCGTGACATAGTCCCGACACCATAGGGGGGCGCATGGCGTGGTCTCTGAGCGCGGCCGTTATCCGAGCCGGTCGTCCAGGGAATAGCAGGCGTGGCTTTTTCTCGACGCCATAGGGGGTCCGCAGGTGGTGGTCTCTGAGCGCGGCCGCTATCTGAGCCGGTCGTCCAGGGCGCAACAGGTGAGGCATTTTCTCGACACCATAGGGGGTGCGCAGGGAATGGCCACGAACATCATTCTCACATACTTCACTTCAGCTATCATCACCCCAGCCGTAATAAAAGTATGTGGGGTTCCTCGGTAGCGTAAGTGTCCCTCTCTCTCTCTCTCTCTTTCTCTTTCGCTTTCAATCATATGCATATATATATATATATATATATATATATGCACACATGTGTATATACACGTATGCATCTATATATATATATATATATACATATATACATCAGCCATCCCACCACCGTGCCTGGGGTGTCGGTCAGAGGCCCTTCGGATGCCTGTGAGGACGTATTTGGGAGACCAGTCGGACGCCTCTTGGATGCGGTTGTCTGTGTGGTTTGGGGCGTGCATGATTGTGGCCGGGGCCTCGGGAAGGCACCCTGGGGGCCTCTGTAGCGTTCTTTGAACCCAAAGGAACACCCAAGAGTTCCCGGGAGCCCCAGGAGCTGCGGGCGGGGGAAGGACCAACGTCTCACTCAATCGATGTCATTATCGGTTCCACTGTCGATCTCACGATCGATATCACTATCGATCTCACTATCGAAGTTACTGCCGATCTTATCAATAATTTCACAGACGATTTCTCCACGGATCTCCCTGTCGATTTCACTACAGATCCCACGATCGATCTTACTAGCGATATCGCTATCGATCCCACTATCGATCTCACCATGTGGTTCATTACGGGGCACCGACGGGACGCCAACGAGACTTCACGATCGATCTCATTCAATCGTTCTCACCATCGATCTCACCATCGATTCCACAATCGCGATCTTACTATCCTTCTCACTAATGCCACTACGGATCGCACTACTGATCTGGCGTTCGATTCCACCATCAATCTGAATACCGATCTCTCCATCGATCTCCCGATCGATCGCACCCTCGATTTCACAATCGGTCTTACTATCGATCTCACTATCGATCCAACTATCGACCTCAATATCGGTCCCACGACATCGATTTTACCATCAGTCCCACTACGGGTCACCGGCGGGGCACCGACGGGGCACCGGCGGGACACCGACGTGACACCCGCGGGACACCCCGAGCCACCGCTGGACAATTTTGGGTGGGGGGCGGTCTTTTGGCCCGGCGGCGCCTTAGCCAGAGGAGGGTTCTTTCTTATCGCCCGCCCACGCAGCTTCGCCCCGCCCGCCGACACGAACACGAAACCGAAACCGATTCTCCAACGGGGTGCTTTCGGACCCACTGCGATCTCACCCCCTCGCCTCCTAAATGCGGTATTTAGCTTGGAGAGTTCGCAGAGACCTGGAGAGGCCAGTTGGTGGTGCGATCGCAGATTCTGGGCCACCAACATCCGCGCCCACCCTGTGCACGCGGCAGCTATGGGAGCCCTCAAGGCCGCGGCCGGGCTCCCACACTCGGCCCTGCTTGCTCTCGCGATCCGGGTCCACAGTGCCGCCCTGGGTCTTCGCCCCGCGGATCTTTCTGCGGGCTCTCCCCCGATCGGTGTCTGGCTTGTCCCGGGCCCTGGCTTGGACCCTCGGGCGGCCGCGGCCGCTTCCCAGGCTGCCTGGTTCTCTCCGGTCCCGGGCGCCTTTGACGGGGCCACTGACCTCGGGCAGCACGTCCTCCGTGTTTGTGTTCGCGCAAAGTGTCTCACTGAGAGATCCGGCACATGACGCCGCCAGGACGAGGAAGGGTTGAGCGACGTCTGCGTGGAAACTCAGAGTAATCCCGCGTGTGTGCAGTGGGCCTCCTCCCTGCGGCCCGATCAACGATGGTGGTTTCGTGTGTGGTGGTGCGGCGGCACGTGAACTCCGACCCGCCGGTGGTCCTTGGCAGGCGAAGCTCGCACCCGCTGCCCCTGGTGCCCCGAACCCCGGTGCTCCACCCGGCATCTGTTCGCTGACTGCCCCAGGGTCGTCTCGGTCCGACGTGGCCTCGAGATGGAGTTCGGCCTGCCCCCCGGCTGGTGGACGACGGTGCCCCGCGTCACGTCCAAGACGGGATGGATCACGAGGGCTGCGGGTCCCCGCCCCGCGGATCGGGCCCGCCTTCAGGCGGCGGCGCGCCGCCTGGCGCCCGCCGTCGTCGAGGCGGACGTCCGGCGGGCCCGCGAGGCCCAGGAGGAGGCAGGGGCCTACCCGCCTCCTCCGCGGGGCTGTCCGGGCCGCCCCCCCGAGGACGAATGTGGTGCTGCGGCGTAGGCGGCTGTGGGGGGCATCGGCGGCCTGGCGGCCCCTCCCCTCCCTCCTTCCCTCCTCGGCGGCTGGCTAGACTGCCGGCGGCCTGCCGCAGCCAGCCTGACACTTTTGGCTTCGTTAATTAACGAATTAGGGCTGCGCGCCACTGGCGCGCCGGCAGAGGCAAGGCCACCAGCACGCCTACTTTTTTCACCCTTTGTCAGGGGTCACTTCAACTCGTGCCTCGAGGCACGGTGGTGGATAGATGCATGCCTGGGAAATGTGGTGGTCGTAGATTGGTCGTTTAACGATTGTCTCTCATTGTCACAGCGATACTGTAGAACCATGGTTCGAGGTGGAGACGACGCTCCGAGGATGCTTGGAAAGGTCTGCGCCGCGCGCGCTCGCGTTCTTCGCTCCGCCTGGCTCCAGAACGTCGGCATCACGTTGGACGTCTGTGCTGTGACCTGGGTTGGCCCAGCGAATCAGCCACCGATGTCATAAAACGTTGTTCCGTCCTCCTCCCGCTCCGGGTGCGATCTCTTTTCTCCGAGCAGTTTTGAAATCGCACAGTTGCGGTGCGCTTGCCGAACAACAGGACGAGCCCGGCGCGACCCCAATTAGAAGGTAGTCTCTTATTGCGTTGGCGCATTGCTTGGCGTTGCTCGGCACATTGTTGGGCAGCGTTTGGCATTGCATCGCATTGCATGGTATTGCCTGGTATTGAACGGCAACGATTTGGATAGCATGGTATGCGTGGCATTGCATATTGCGCGGCGACGCTTTGCACTATGCGACGGGACACCAAGTCACCAAGACCAAGGAACCAAGAAGCCGAGACAAAGGAACCAAGACCATGTAACCACGGCTTCAATGAACCAAAACCATGGAACCAAGGAGCGAGTCGAAGGAGCCGTGGAACCAAAACGAAGGAATCAAGGAACCAAGGACAGGGAACCAAGGAACCACGGCCAAGGTCAAGAAACCAAGGCACAACGCAGGAACTACGGAAATAAGACCAAGGAACCCGCAAACCAAGGGAACCCAGGCAACGCCTTGTAAGGAAAGAAGACCACAGAATCTCTGGGAACCCATTTGTAAGAACATAAGGTTTCATAACCCTGGGGGGCCCGGCGACCACGCGTAAACAAGGACCCCCAAGGCAAAGTTTTCTTGGGACAATTATTTGAGCGAGCCTCCCGTGTTTGTTCTGCCCAGGCGCGTCGTCAACAGTTTCCGATATGCAGGCCCCTGCAAATGCCTGTGGCATTGCGCACAACGCAGATCCAGGGTGTGCTCACGATCCTGCCAGAAGGACCGCCCAGTTTCCTCGCACGCGCTTTTTCCCAATTATGGAGTTCGCTGCGCGTGTGCTGGTTATTTTCCCACCCTTCCTCCGCTGCGCAGCCGTCTTGGCTAGAAAACCCAGTGCGCCTCCCGGGGCTGGTGACTCTCAGACCCGGGCGTCGGAGAAAAGCGTGGTGGCAATCTTGCTGTCGATGCCGGCCTCAGGAGGCCGTTTCCCAGCCCCGTCTCCATCAAAATTTGCTGCAGCCGCAGCCATGGGGTCGATGTCCCAGGGTGGCGCGCCACGACAAAGATGCGGCGCCGGAGGATTCCGACGCCGCGATCTTCTGCCAGGGCTTTGGCCGTCGACCCCCAGAGGTCTGGAACTTCTTTCCCTGCAGGCTGCGTTCTCGTCCAAGGTCGCTCCTCAGCGCGGGGCATGCTGAGTCGAGCGGGAAACATCGCATAAACATAGACTTTGGAGCCTCTCGTGGATCTCTTGGATTTGCCTTCGGCGCCACCCCTGCGCGCTCCGCGCGCCAAGGAAAGATTACTGCCCAGATCCACAAAATCCGCGCGGACCTCCAACAGTTTATGTTTATGTACTTTATTCTTCTTCTACTATGGGAATAGGGGGCGAGTAGTGGATGCCAAGGCGGGTACATCTGGCCTGGCCTAGTTTGCCAGTGGCTTCCAAGTGCCCTCTGTGTTTTTAGGGGAGATGAAGACCGGGACCAACCAGGTCCAGCGGAGATTTCCAAACCACTCAAGCCATTGAGGGCAGTTGTAAGCCACTTGTGAGCCAGTATAGGCCAGGCATGACGCAACCGAGCAGCGCCTCATAGCGCCCTGAACCTCCTTAGCACCCCCAGCGCTGATCCGAGTGGGGCTGGGAAACGGTTCCCACATGGGTCCAAAGTCTCCCGCATGAGCGGCGCAGAAAACCTGGTGTCCCTTTCACCGACATGTGCGCGTAAGTTGCCCGCGAAATGCCGCAGTGCCTTCGTTTCCAATGTGGCCTGCCCCGCTGGCGGCCCGCGTAAGCCACCGCGCAACGTCGCTGTGTGATCGTGCGTGAGACACTTTTGTTTGTCGCTCAGGCGGGCCCACGGCGTCTCTCCCACACTGTGATCTTTTCAAGGCGCGAGAAGGACTGAGCTGCTCGGCGCGCCCATGCGCCGCCGGGCCGCGTGGCCGCTGGCGAAGCCTGGCGGCCGCGGCCGCAGACAGCGGGAGGCTTGGCCACACGGAAGAGTGGCCCTCTGCCGAAGAGTGACCTTTCTGGTGTGCGGCTTTCGGGGGGCACGTGAGAGCCCAGCCATCCAACGCCTTGGAAACTGCCAGCGTTTTAGCAGTTATCGGCCTCCGGGGGCCCTCGCTGGTCCCCGCGACAGGAGAGCGCTGGCCTCGGGAAGAGGGTCGGGGCTTCCAGGGACTTCGCATTTCAGAAAATTTCGTCGGATCTCTGGGAGCACGGGCCGTCGGGCGTCTTCGACAGTCCTAGGCGGTTTTCCAGCTCTGGGTTGCGTTCCAGCAGTTGCGCCGAACGGCCTCCAGAGACCAGACTTCTGACCCGAAATCCAGATGACCCTTCGCCAGAGTGGCGCGGTTGTTGGGGGGCGCGGGGGTGAGAATAAATCCAGGCACGCAGGCCGCCTCTACCGCATCGCAGACAATGAAGGGCAAGTCGCGCACCAGAGGTGACTCTTGCCTGCCCTCCGACGTCGCAACTTTTTCGTGGCACGGTTCACCTGGTGATCTCGTCGCCTCCTTCCCCATGGACCGGCTGTTCATCCTGAGTTGTGTCTTGAAGGCTCTGGGGCCATGAAACGGCCTCCAGAGGTAGAGCACGTAAACAACAACCCCTGTCAATATTTCCTAACCATCCTGTGGTGTTGGGTCCTCGTTTTGAAGAGACAGCGCCCCGCGTTCCTTCCTTCCTTTCCCGCTGCCCCCTCCCTCCTCCCATCTTCATCATCATCGTCATCATCATCATCATCATCATCATCATCATCATCGTCATCGTCATCTTCATCGTCATCGTCATCTTCATCGTCATCGTCATCGTCATCGTCATCATCATCAGCATCATCATGGCCGTCATCATCCCATCAGCGTCAGCGTCAGCGTCATCCCATCATCATCATCATCATCATCATCATCATCATCATCATCATCATCATCATCATCATCATCATCATCATCATCATCATCATCATCATCATCATCATCATCATCATCATCATCATCATCATCATCATCATCATCATCATCGACACCCAGTTCGGCACACCCCTCACGCGTTTCGTGGCCCCATAGGGAGCTCCACCGAAGGCCCCAGTGCTGCCGCCCGCATGCGTCCCGCACACCCAATTCGGCACACCCCTCACGCGTTTCGTGGCCCCGTAGGGAGCTCCGCCGAAGGCCCCAGTGCTGCCGCCCGCATGCGTCACGCACACTCAGTTCGGCACACCCCTCACGCGCTTCGCGGCCCCATAGGGAGCTCCACCGAAGGCCTCAGTGCTGCCGCCCGCATGCGTCCCGCACACCCATTTCAGCACACCCCTCACGCGCTTCGTGGCCCCATAGGGAGCTCCACCCAAGGCCTCAGTGCTGCCGCCCGCATGCGTCACGCACACTCAATTCAGCACACCTCTCACACGTTTTGTGACCCCATAGGGAGCTACACCGAAGGCCCCAGTGCTGCCGCCCGCATGCGTCACGCACACTCAATTCGACACACCCCTCTCGCGCTTCGTGGCCCCATAAGGTACCCGCTCCACCGAAGGCCTCAGTGCTGCCGCCCGCACGCGTCCCGCACACTCATTCGGCACACCCCTCACGCGTTTCGTGGCCCCATAGACAGCTCCACCGAAGGCTCCAGTGCTGCCGCCCGCATGCGTCCCGCACACCCAATTCGGCACACCCCTCACACGCTTCGTGGCCCCATTGGGAGCTCCACCGAAGGTAGTGCTACCGCCCGCATGCGTCCCGCACACCCATTTCGGCACACCCCTCACGCGTTTCGTGGCCCCATAGGGAGCTCCACCGAAGGTGCCGGTGGGTGTGCCCGCATGCGTCCCGCACACCCATCTCGGCACACCCCTCACACGTTTCGTAACCCCATAGGGAGCTCCACCGAAGGCCCAAGTGCTGCCGCCCGCATGCGTCCCGCACACTCATGTCGGCACACCCCTCACACGTTTCGTGGCACCATAGGGAGCTCCACCGAAGGCCCCAGTGGGTGTGCCCGCATGCGTCCCGCACACCCATTTCGGCACACCCCTCACACGTTTCGTGGCCCCATAGGGAGCTACACCGAAGGCCCCAGCGGGTGTGCCCGCATGCGTCCCGCACACCCATTTCGGCACACCTTTCACGCGTTTCGTGACCCCTCACACGTTTCGTAGTCCCATAGGGAGCTCCACCGAAGGCCCCAGTGGGTGTGCCCGCATGCGTCCCGCACACCCATCTCGGCACACCCCTCACACGTTTCGTGGCCCCATAGGGAGCTCCACTGGAGGTCCCAGTGGGTGTGCCCGCATGCGTCCTGCACACCCATTTCGGCACACCCCTCACACGTTTCGTAGCCTAATACGGAGCTCCAGCAGAGGTCTCAGTGCGTGTGCCCGCATGCGTCCTTCACACCCATTTCGGCACACACACCTCACACGTTTCGTGGCCCCACAGGGAGCTCCACCGAAGGTCCCAGTGGGTGTGCCCGCATGCGTCCCGCACACCCATGTCGGCACACCCCTCACACGCTTCGTGGCACCATAGGGAGCTCCACCGAAGGTCCCAGTGGGTGTGCCCACATGCGTCCCGCACACCCATTTCGGCACACCCCTCACACGTTTCGTGGCCCCATAGGGAGCTCCACCGGAGGTCCCAGTGGGTGTGCCCGCATGCTTTCTGCACGCCCATTTCCGCACACCCCTCACACGTTTCGTGGCCCAGTAGGAAACACCAAAGGTTCCAGTGGGTGTGCCCGCATGCGTCCCGCACACCCATTTCGGCACACCCTTCACACGCTTCGTGGCCCCATAGGGAGCTCCACCGGAGGTCCCAGTGGGTGTGCCCGCATGCGTCCCGCACACCCATGTCGCCACACCCCTCACACGTTTCGTGGCCCCATCGGGAGCTCCACCGAAGGTCCCAGTGGGTGTGCCCGCATGCGTCCCGCACACGCATTTCGGTACACCCCTCACACGTTTCGTGGCCCCATAGGGAGCTCCACCGAAGGCCCCAGTGGGTGTGCCCGCATGCGTCCCGCACACCCATTTCGGCACACCCCTCACACGCTTCGTGGCCCCATAGGGAGCGCCACCGAAGAAGATATTCACAATTGCGGTACTCACAAATGCATATGGTTGGTCCTTCGCCAGGATAATTGTTTGCACGACCCAGATTCGAGGGTCACAGACAATCCACGTTGTTTCTCTTTCACGTGAACCCCAGATGTCTGGACCTCTTCCCTGGGACAAGTTTTTCATCACGAGTCATTCGCCGACTGTCCCGGGGCCCGGCGATGACCCCCGAAGGACGAACATGACCAAAGTTTATTGTCACGACTTGTTGTCGATTCGAGGAGATGGCGCTCTTGGGCCATAACTTGGAAGGCGGCCGTTTGGGACGATTCCAGAACCCCCAGACTGCCCGCGACGAGGCGCAGCCGGTGGAAACCACCCCAAGCCCTGTTTCAACCTCCCAGACACATCCGCAAACCAAGTTCTGTCGACGGCGTTTGGATTTGCGCAGGGCTTGCTGAAGGGATGGCGGAGCCTTTAAAATTTATGTCAAGGTGGACTATGTCTGGCCTACAACCTAGTTCTTCGCGGGCTACAAGTGCGCGAAGTGGCTTCGGGGGATCGAGACGAAGTGGGCCCCACCAACTTGGAGGATTTGTCGAACCTACCCGAGGCTCTCTGGGCACTTGTCTCCCAGTGGTAATTGTGCGAGGTCAGGCCAGATAACGCCCACTTCCCGCGCCGTCCTCCGCGGGCGGCTCTGATGAGGGATTGCGCCTCGGCGTCTCCGCTGCGCTTCGTACCAGCGCGCGGCAGCTTGAATGAGATCCGTCTGCCGCGAGAGGTAAAACTTGATCTTCTAGCATTTTGGTTCTGCTCAATAGTGCGTAATATGGGTCTCCCTTCGCATGCTGGTACTCGAGCGCAAGCAAGGGCGATCGCAGCGCACCCCCAGCCCGAAGTGTCCCACCAGGCCGAAGCGTTACTGTTTCCCGGCCCCCCCTCCAGGTAACGATCCTCGCCGACAAAATCGATAACAATTACGTTAGCCCCCATCCCCTTCGCGACCCCCGTATGTATTCGAGCGGCGAGGCGATGAGGTCAGGGCGAGGGTCACGTGAAACCGCCAGCATGCATACCTTCCTCCGCGGGCGGCTCTGGGGAGGGATTGCGCTTCGGCGTTTCCACTGCGTTTCGTGCCAGCGCGCGCCAACGCATTCAGTAAACATCGCGCGCGAGGTGGCTTGCCTGCAGCTTGAATGGTACGCCCCTGCCGCGAAAAGTAAAACCCAATCTTTCCAATGATCCCATCGGGATAGATATCGGTGCTCGAACCGCCCGCGCGGTTCTAGCGCAGTCCATGGCGTTGTTTAACGCAGGTGAAGCAATATTGAGCCCCGCTTGTCTGTCCACTTCCTCCCTGCCCGAATCGCCCCGAACTGCCGCGGCTCACCAGTTGGAGCAGCCAGGCTGAACGCACCTTTGCGGGGTAGTGCGGCTCCGTTCACACCGACCTACTGGGTTGATATCATTGCGAGATCTAGTCATCGACAGCGGGAATTGTTTCCCGAAGAATCGGAGGCTCCAAAGATGCCCAAAGACTTACTTCTTACCTGGGTGGAAAAGATTATGATACTCGCCTAAGTGTGGGTAGTTCATCCACCGCTACGCGAAGCACGGCCTCAATACTGTCATAAACGAGCTTGCTGAGGAGCAGCTGTCCGCTGAGGATGGCGGCCAGGATGTAGCCATGCAGATGCGAAAGGTTTCTGCCGAATGCCAAGACCGCAGGATACCAAAGGCATTTGAGAAGTTGCTCTATTTGATCATACTAAGTGCAATCGAGACGAGTCCATTCGCCACATCATCATGCAACAGTCCTTTGCTTGATTTGCCAGAGACTTACGAGGAAGAAACTATCTTGCGCCAGGTCCTCAGGCTCGTCAGCGACGAAGCTGTGCTTTTTGCAGCCGGAGCATTGCCGGAAAACGGGATTCTAGAAGAACAAGAAGCAGCTGTCGCCATATTCGCTAATTGCAGTCAAGTCCGACAGCGTCTGCACAAGAGGAAACGCGGACGAGGCTTCTTCAAGAAGTCCCCCCCCCCGAAAGGAAGGGCCACGGGTTCCCAGAAAAAGGGGGGGCGCCGCGGGGCGCGGAGTGGCCGCGCCAAGCCGAAGCGCTGCGCGACTAGTACGCTGATGAGCCGCTCGAAGCGCGCCCGACGTGGGGAGATCGGACACTGGGCTCGAGACTGCGGGAACGAGCCAGACGAGCGGGGAAAGCAACATCAAACTGGCTCCGGCGGCTTTCAGGCCCCCCCCACCGAAGCGGATGCTAACCCACAGGGCGCCAGGGCGCCCGTCAGCAGGGGCGCGCGACTCAACCAGGCGCCAGCTCTTTCACTTTCGCAGTCTGCGCTGCTGCAGACAAGCTTGGCGGGGGGGACTTATCTCGGACTTTAGGTTCAGAATGGCTGCTGCGCATTTGATTCGGGAGCACAGCATGGAGTCTGCGGAAAGGACCAGTTCGGCAAGCTTGCGAAGTGCTTCGGGGACATGTTCCCC